CCTAATTGTGAGCGATGACTTTCAAAAGGCCGAGCTTCTTTCCGAGTTTTCCAAAGTGTCTACACCACGGAACCACCCCTCTAGTCATGTTCTCTTCCACTGTTCGTTTACGAACCACTTATAAGCACAGTATTTTTTACTCCGCAGTTAGTTTTAATAGAGCTAAATAAGCTGGATCCGGCCAAGTCACCTGGACCAGATGAGATCCCAGGTGTACTCTTATGTCAGCTAGCTGAAGAATTAGCAGAGTAACTTTCTATAATCTTCCAAAAATCGCTGGAAGCTGGCAAACTACCTGACACATGGAAGTTGGCAAACGTCGTACCTATCCACAAGTGATGATCACGGCGCTGTCCCGCCAACTACCGGCCGGTGAGTCTGATATGCATTTGCTGCAAACTTATGGAAAAGTTAGTTAAAAAAAATCAATTACATTACTCGATACATTCCGCTGTCACATCACTTCAGTTCAGCATGGCTTCTGCGAAAAGAGGTCCTGCCTCACAAACCTGCTTTCGTCACTGGAACATTGGTCAAAGGCCATGGATGATGGATATCCAGTTGATGTCATTTACTTTGACTTCAGCAAGGCGTTCGATTGCGTCGCACATAAGTGCCTCATTCAAAAGTTGTCAGAAGTAGGGATAAGAGGAAATCTTCTGAACTGGATTAAAGATTTCCTAAACGGTCGACGACAAATGTCACTGCTGGTGGCTACTGCTCAGAATGAGCACCTGTTACAAGTGGAGACCCACAGGTGTCAGTTCTTGGGCCGCTCCTATTCATTATATATGTAAATGACCTAATACGGGAAGTGAAATTGGACATAGCGCTTTTTGCAGACGAGCTTTAACTTTGGAGAGCGATAAAAAAATGAAGATGACGTCAAGATAGTACAGGAGTACGTAGAGAATTTACACGCATGGAGCGAGAAATGGTGCATGAAATTCAACGTCAACAAATGTGCAGTAATGCACGTAGTATAAGCGAGGCGAAGAACGAATGCCTCCCCACGACAGCATCTCCTGGATAATCAACCACTTAAAACCGTAAATGCGCAAAAAGATCTCGGTGTATTCATTGATGACGATCTTAGCGCCACCACGCAGTGTTCTAAAGTCGCTGCGCGGGCAATTTCAGTTATCAGCGCGATACGCAGAACGTTTATTCACTTGAATAAAGACGTCTTCGGCAAAGTATACGGGACATTTGTGCGGCCGCACCTGGAATATGCGGTACAGGCTTGGCGGCCGTGACTTCGGAAGGATATAGATATCCTTGGAGGTGTACAACGGCGTGCTACAAAGGGTGTTCATGGCCTCAAAAATTTCCCGTACGAGCAGCGCCTGACGGCCTTGAACCACTATCCCCTCCACGGCTGGCAGGACAGAGGTGACCTCATAGCAACGTTCCAGTTGGTAAAAGAACTTAATCTGGATGTCGACTGGGAAACGTTTTTTGAAATTGCACCCAAGTCTAATCTCAGACGACATACTTACCAGCTTGAAAGGGAACTGTGTCGGACAAATCAACGTTCCTCCTTTTTCTCACAGAGGGTCATTCGCAAATGGAACTCTTTGCCGGAGCATGTTGTAAATTCCCCTACGGTGCACGTGTTTAAGAGACAACTGGATACTCACCTGCTGAAAGGCAACCCGAGTTGTCAAATCCTGATCTGACGGATTACTGAAATGACTATAAATATACTACTAACAGGATTTCAACAGATCCTTTTTGAGCGTCAAACTTAGCCCATATGGAAATTTTCATAGTCCGCATGCGGTGAACAAAGTTTTTCGCAGTTATTTCGTGAATACCATGTCCCTTTCGCATTTATGTTACATTATTGGATATATGAATTATCCTTACTAAAACTGCAAGCAAAAGTTTTGCAATTTAACTCTTTTCCCTTGCATATGTACCCACTAATTGGAGTTTTCAGAGCTTCTGTCCATTACTCCAAATATACTGACTGATACTGACTGAAGACTCGTTTGAAGAAGGCGGGCTCCCGGAAGAATGGAATTGGGCACTGATCACTCCGATCCATAAAGGAGGCTCACGACTTGACTGCGGAAATTATCGTCCTGTCAGTCTTACTTTTATCGCGTGCAAAATAATGGAACGCATTACCAAAAGAAATTTGATGCTATATCTGGAAAAAAACAAAATATTGCCTGATGTCCAACATGGCTTTCGTCCAGGGCGCTCCTGCCTAACGAGTGTTCGTTACTCGCACAAGAAATGCGCAAGAGCTACACATAAGTGTTTTGACTTCAAAAAGGCCTTTGACAGTGTCCCACACAGACTACTTTTACAGATGATCTGGGATGTAGGAATTCAAGGAAGAATGTTTAAATGGATCAGTAGTTTTCTGTTATCCAGAGTGCAAAAAGTCGTCGTTGGTAACTCTACCTCGAAACGGGCAAGGGGGAAAGTGATGTCTCACGGGGTTCTACTTTAGGCGCAGCAATCTTCCTGACTTATGTTAATGACTGCATGAACGATCTGAGTTGCGAAGCTGTCGTGTTCGCGGATGACAAAGTGTATGGAGTGAAGTCAGGGGCTACGATGACGCGGAGAGGTTGCGGTCGAACTTCGGCATACTGTGTGTTTGGTCGAACAGAAGTCTCTTAAAGTTTGACGTGTCCAAATGCGTGGTTTTGCACCTAAACAAAGGCCGAAATGCCACTTCCAAACACCAGTACCATATTAACGGGACGACGTTAGAAACTGTAGAAAGACACAGAGATCTGGTTGTATGGACGACCACAAATATAATGTCATCAAAGCACTGCAGAAAGGTGGTTTAGAAGGCCACTAGTGCTTTACACTGGATCAGACGTGCATTTAAAATATTCCCTTTCGATCTCCAAAGAATTTTGGCGTCTTTGCAAGACACCATCTGGAGTATGGCATGCCAGCAACTTCACCATGGATGAGGAACGATATTGACTCACTCGAACAGGAGCAACGCAGAACAATAAAAATGGTCGATAATCTAAGGCATTTGTCTTACCAGGAGAGGCTGAAAGTGCTTAACTTATTCTATCTCTCTTATAGGCAAATAAACCTAAGTCTACTCTAGTAATTCCGGATTGCCTGTGGCCAATTACGCTCATTAGGAACGGGCAACTTCTTTGATTTTGCCCGTACAAACCGATTACGCAGTCATCCTTACAATGTGAAGAATGAACGCACGCGGCTAGTCCGTGGAAAGTTTTCATTCAGCCAGCGGGTTGTCCGACCACGGAATTCGCTACCAAGTGAGGTCGTGACGATCAACAGAATTTGCAGGCTTAAAAGAAAGCTTGCTCGTTTGAGTTTCGACTGGAATCGGTTTTTGCAAAACGACTTCTCACAACCAGCTCTGTAAAACACTCAGTCATACACAATTTTCCCGTACTGACCTACAGCGAACAGGTGCGCTTCCTTATCATTACGATTGAACCGTGACTCGGTCACATTATAAATGTCCGTAACTTTATTTTGAGCACGAATCTGCGCAAGCATTGTACATAAATAGCATCATCAAAAGCTCTACTCTAACCCTACAAATACATACATATATACATACATAGATGGCAAAAACAGAGGATTCAGCCGTGGTTGCCAACAGACTACTTAGCGTCGAAATAAGATGACACCAAGAACTGCGAAAATCACCGATTGGGGGCGAAAGCTCGAAATATCAGATTCCAGAGTGGATCCTTGATGAGAACCGGCAATTAGGGAAACGGTGGCGAGTTGGAGCGTGCATATCGACGTGCCCCCGCTATTTCCTTGGGAAAATTCGCCAGTGAGGGAATCGCGTCCTGCGAAGACACGATGTGTGGACTGAAAAATCGATGATGAAAGATCCTAGAAAGCGAGTGCAGACACAAAGGAGGAAACGTGAGCGGATATTTAGCGGGCAGCCATCATGACCGGTCAGGCGTCATTGTTCAAGATCTCGCTGCCTCAGTGTAATTCACCTCCAGCAGTGAGCCGTTCCAGACGTGCTGACCTGAAGCAAATCAACCGACTTCAGTTCGGGCACAAATGCGTTCTCACAGCGCCGCGGCTACACATGCGCCACTTAAACGCGCCCAACTACTACCACAACCTAAGCCACTGCGACAACATCCCTCGGTAAATGCTACGCACATCGATTGGAGACCACTTAAGCTTGGCCCACGAGTACACAAAAGCGGCTGCCATCATTATCTCTGGGACTCTCAAGCATAACTGAACGCAGTCAAAACCAGCCTTGACTTCGCCAGTGGCTACTGTCGCCTGAGAGGAAAACGCCGGATTCTGTTGACATTAAACCCCTTATTCTGGTGCCTTTTGCCCTCTCCTTCGAACATGGAGTATGACCTTGTGATGGTAGCACCCAGCTCCACATTCTAACCGCCTAGCCCCAACAGATACAGTAATTTGGTGACGGTGACATAAATCCTCGAGAAGATTAGTTTCCACGCGGGTAGAGCGGTGCTGCTCTTTCGCCGTTTTTGTATGGGACTGTATAAGAAGGAACTGACGCTGAGCATGTCGCGTGAAAGAAAACCTGCAAAGTTGTCTTAAAGATTCCTGGAAATACATGCCTATGGCCAGCTGACCATGGCTTGTGGAGGCGAGAACTTTGCCGGAACATCCATCTCGGTCTCTCTCATTGTGCACACTTACAGATTGCGGGTGTGGACACAGATAATCCAGCAACCTTTGGGAATGCGCGGGAATAGGGCGATGAATTTATCACTTTTCTGGAGTTAACTTCCTTCTCTAAGGGACATACATGGATCTAACTATTTAGAACTTTTTTGTGCACAGTTTCCCTACTTCACCCAAAGGTCTCGTCGATTTCTCGGAATTTATCTTAAAAGCTCGTCGAAATACTTGAATTTTTAGTTTCATGCATTTACTTAATGACGATCGTTTAAGTCGATGCTACCTGCAAGCGCTGAGTTTGGTGGCACGCCGACTGGCCAATCAGCTCGGATGTGGCTTTCTGTGCGCTGATGTTGGACGCGGATTCTGTTTTTGAGCGCCTCGTACGTTAATATCCGTTGTTTTATTCGGGTTTAGCTCAGGGAGGCTGCGAACCTTGTTCCAAAAATGAGTACGCCAAAGCTTACTGCTGCATTAAAGGTGTCATCGGCGCTACAACAACGAATAACGGACACTCTGGCTGCGAGGTATTATTTTGTTTCCTTCCTGCTTATACTCGCAGGCTGCATCAGGAGCAAGGAGCCGCTAACCCAACCGAATCCAAAACGCTTGCAGTTCAGGGGATTCAGTCGCTTGTTAGGACCCCAATATTGTCTGAGGATTTGATGACTGATAATACCTTCCTAACTCCCAACGATAATGTTAGCTCTGCGATTTCACATGTCCTTGCATATTGCTCGTGACTTTTCTTGCATTTTTACATCTTGCCTGGTCTCAATTACGCAGTTCAGCGTTTTCTTGATTAGGTAGTCAATGCTCCTGCGCAATTTTTTTATAGGAAGCTATAGCGAGGGTATAAATCGATAGACTTAGTGTTTTGTTTTCAGACCTGCATTGAGCTAGTGATTAGTTAGTGAAGTTTTTAAAGACACACAATGACCTTTGTTAAAACCATTGAATGGGATATGCTGCCATCGGAGCGACGCAGCCAGTACACTCACAGGACACGTGGGAAATCCAACGACGCGGATTTTCGTTCGTTGTAGAAAATGCACCAAAAGAAAAGACCCTAGATTCCAGAAATTGCTTCGAGTTAACTCTAAAACCTGTTTTTGACAGAATTCTTTTGTTAGCAAATGTTGCCGACTGGTAAACTTCTACTCTCGATTTGCAACTTAAATGTTATGCTTCCGAGTACAGCATCCTCTGCTGTCGGCTGCCGAGTTCTGAGGTAACTTGTTAAACTTCTGGCGTTCTCTCGCATCTGTTTGGAAGCACGCAGTATGGTTGATAGCGAGCCTTGTCTCTCGAAATAAAGACACCCTGTTACGTCAAATTCACAATTATTTTCTCATATCCGGTGTTGACTTTTGGCTTATCTGGGCTTTCGTCGGTTCTTGCTGTTAGATTGAGTTGAACTGAATGTTTTTGGAGGACCACATACAACCTACGGGTACAAGGTGCAGGTTTCGCTAGGCGGCTATAGAAGCATGATTGAGAACAAAGGCCACTTAGGAAAGAAGGTGCGATCGCCAAATAACGGACTATTAGGTCATCAAAGAAGGACGCATTAAATTTGCGAGTTTGCAGAGCCTATCCCTACCAGTTGCTTCCATGGACTCTTTCACTGTTTTTGTTTTTTGTCTTGCTAGATGCCTACACAGAAACTTGTTACTTTTCTTCCAGTAAACTGCACCGTACTTCGTGCGCCATTCTTCCAATTTTAGGCTTTTCTATCCAATAATTCTTCTGTCGCAAATGATGAGAGCTGCCGTTGTTGTCACTTAGCTTTTTTTGGCGCGTATGAAGTTATTTATTGAAGGGGGACTAGCGAAAAATCCACTCCACGTTTTGTTCTCATGCCAGCTATATTCCAATTACAAGGGAAAGTCGAAACCATGGGGAGACGGTTGCGGGAACACTGACCGACAAAGTTAAAATACCTGTCCACACTTGCCATGCACGAGCTATTACGTAATCTCAGACTCAAAGACTTAAAATTGGAGATTGCGTCGAATCTTAAATAATTGGGGGGCTCAGTAGGGGCCAAACTAAGAGGGGGACTGAGTTGACCCATCGGCTAGCAATATTACAAGCTAATACACCCGCATTTATTATTAAGGCGTGCTGTAGATTGTCGCGGAGGAAGATAGCAATTTCGATTTCGCTTTGTCCTCCGTCCAAAACTGATTACGCGAGTTTATAGCATGCGACGACCTAATTGGGCCTCCATTTTGGTCTAAGTCAACAGCAGCACACCCTTTCGGAACTGCTATATCCCAGCTTCTACTATTAATCACGACAGACGGCTTTTGTCATACTTCCTTACCATATGATTGAAGCAATCGGAATTTAAGTTGGGGTTTTCCCGAACAATGCTTATCTGCGGATAGAGTTGAATTTTTTAAGCATCTGCCTTCTTGTGGCCGTTTGCATGAAGTTTTGCTTCACTTTTTAAGTCACCCTTCACTACCACATTTTATCTCGTTTGGCATTTTTTGACATGTGTAACGTTGATCTGCGTACCTTAGTTTGCTTCGGAAGAACGTTGCAGTCATATACTCTTCATAATCCTTGCTCCCAATAATTTAAACGCCTTATTTGTTTCTGCTTTATAGAACTGTCCACAAATTCTCAGTGGTAACTTATACGTTTTCTAGGTACCTTATTCGCTCAACATTCGTTATAGCCGATGAGCATATTTTCGAAAAACGTGATTGATGATGTATCTGTTAGATTTGCATGTTTTTTTGACGCCATATTTGTCGTGTATACTTCTTGCCGATATTTTACACCAAACTTTTTCCTGTCTTACAGCACTTCGTCAGTCGAAATGTGACAACTTCCAATTACGGAGGCCTGCCTTTTTTCTCTCAATTTAACCAGTTTGGTAAGTCTTCATTCACGACCTTCATCCAGCTTTTCATATTTTAAAAGAACATATGACCAGTTCTCTGCTCACAGCAATATTTTCCGAGGCAAGTGAATTATCCGGAAAAGACTGCAATTCCTTCTCGATCTTTTGCTTTTTATTGCATTTTGTGATGATCTCTAACCTGTTCAAAAAGCTACATGTTCGCGAATTTATAGCGCAGAGCTTTATTTTTTGCTGGATTTTTCTTGTAGTCTTATGTTGCGACAAAAATGTAAAGAACTCGGTACGAGTCAAGCTTTCTGTGTTCTGATGTCGCTATCTCTGAGAGCTGCTTGAGATATAGGGGCTAAGAACCTGAGCAATGGTCTACGGCCTTTCCACGAATTAAGTCCTAACTCCTGATTGTTGACGGCTGAATCAGTTTATGCTTTTTCAAAATGACAGTTATAGTGAGGATGTGACTGGACTCGCGTTGCGTTGATGGTACTCAGTTTGACTTTTTGCTCTATATAGCTGGATCTTTCTTTGGGGTAATGACGCGGCTCTTAATTTCTAGTCCACCAGTTGAGTTCTTGATCCCAAGAGAGTGAATTACTGTTTCATATCTACCTCCATAATCTAACCCAAATGCTGGAAAGAAACCTGACGTACATAAGAATACAACCTCCAACAGAAGATGAACAAACGAAATCTCGGCTGTAGACAAAGTTACCAAGAACCTCACGGACTCAAGTTTGATACAGTATCTGGCGTTCTATCCGATTAAGGTGTAGTATGGCCTTTGTTTGCAGTGCACGAGGAGGGGAACCTTTTCAAGGCTCATAATCCGCCAGGCCTAATCTTTTGATGGACTAATTATAGTTATTGTCTAGTCTCGTACTTTTATCCTGCACTGGCAGAGGCCAGCGCCAGTATTGCCTTGGCCTCCTCCACTGTCCAGAGCATAGCAAAACAGCTCTTTGGGGCTGTCTGACAGCCGACTGAATCTTCAGCAGTCTGGCAGTTGATTTTCCAGTCCCGAGGACTTCCAATTCGCAAACTCAACGCAATTTGTCGTTTAAACCAGGCCACCTCAGTCCATTTTTTCACATGGTCACCACTGAGGTGTTGCGAATCCAGACGGCTTTGGACAGGATATTGACCATCTATAAAAGGTGTTCCTAGTCGTCCACGAGAGCCCTCCAATCGGAGCCGAAACATTGTCTGGATGTCTCAGTTCTCAAACACTTCGAGTTTCCGCAGGTCAGCAGATCTAGACTGTCACTTTTTGCAGCAGTGAAAGGGGGTGTTTTTGATTTTGTCCTCTAACACTCGTTATTTCTTCCTGTTTGATCTCTCAGTGGCAAGATAAGAACGTGATCATGCTACTTGCGAGTTACATACGATTGCCTTTTCGACGGTTGAATGTTCTTTGCGTTAATTTATTCGGAAATGGTCCCGTCCGTAGCATAGAATACCCGAGCACGAAATATATTTGACCGCAGGAATCCTGCCCTACATTAAACATGAGGGACACCTTTCGCGGTGTTAAATCACTAAGTTCATTTTCAAGTCGAAACGCTGTCCAAGCGACTCACTCGCTAATTCAGTCGAAGTCTGGGGCGGGATAAAAGGAATTGCCAGGCATATTTCGCTGAAATTAATGCTATTTTCCGGGATTCGTCGCAGGATTTATATATGGCTTGAGCAGCCTTTAGAAAGGCGAAAGCTGTCTTGGTTTTTCCCTATCTAAGTGCCAGTCAGAGTTCCGAAGCTGTTCAGACGTATGCCATCAAAGGCGCTGATGTCGTTGCTGAATTCCCGCAACAGATGGCTGTGCATAGTCGCAGTCTTGTGAGAGAGGGCTGTGTAACGCGTGCCAGTACGACTGTCCTCCCATCGAGGTTTCTTCGTTCCTATCGTCCGGCTGACTCCGTGCCTCTCTCCCAAGGAATGCCGAAGAAACAGACACTTTTATATTGCATCACCACTTTTGGAGAATATAGGTCTTAGTTAACTCTCACAGACCGTGCGGACGACAGAGTTCCCCAAATATGCTTTCAGTGCTTTGAGACTCTGCGCGTTCGCCGATTTCCGGCATTCGGGCATACATCCGTTATGTCCCAGTGTGCAGATGAAACCTGGGCTCGAACATTCCCTAATATGACCATTTTTCGTTTATGCAGCACAGTTGTGCTCCGTAGTGGCATCTTTTTCTCTCAGTGATAGCAACCTGCTGTTGCATTGTGCTGAAACTCACGAGGTTCGAACTTTCTCAAACAAGGGATTTTCAGAGTCTCTTTGGAACTGAGGTCTGAGGTTAAAGCTATACTCGCGCCCAATAGTGTACCTACCCAGCACGTATCTACTAGATGGTCATTCTGTCACTAAATTTCAAAACACTTTTCTAGCTACTAGAAATATATTGTCACAAGAAAAAAGGGAGGTGGCGGTCGCCATTACCACGTCGATTGTTGATGACAAACTGACCGAAAATGGGGTGCTTTGTCTGGTTACGTATGTCTGCGCACATGTTCCAATCTGATGCGATCTTTATACTTCTGGTACACGGAGAAGACATGGGCCCGAGGGCATGCAGATACAGTAGGTGGCAAAACTCATGAACATTCACGCGCTATCGGGGCTAACTCAGCAGGCGCTCCTTTACATCAAACGAAACGCAGAATAATAGACTAAGCAACCTCAATTAAGAAGAGAACGCAGAAAGGTACTTCAAGTAATGTTAATTTGAAACCGAAATACCCAAAATATATACGCCACAGTTTATCATTTGAACTTATTTTATGGGAACCAAGGGCAACTGCAAAGACGAGTAAATATACATAGTATGCGTAAAAGGCTTTAAAATAAAAGGGCTGAATTTCCTTTATTTATGATAACAGTATGCCAATCGGAAGGATACTGGGCTTTAAGCAAACTTTACTGCATTGAAATATGGTATTCAGAAAGTAGTCCCTTTCTACAGTGTTCGGAATGCGGATGACCTGCAACACAAACATAACTTTGCTTAATTTCGTGGTTGGAATTCAGGTATAAACTTATGGTAAAGTCCCATATCAAGAGGCCGACGGTCAGCAAGAAACTGGCAGCACAAGTGATATTCGCAAAAGGACGATACAGCGGTAGAGGGACGTCCACCGATTATGTCGCAGAGGTCACTCGCCCCGTTGTGCGTTGGGGCTCTTTCTCGAGCCCAACCAACAACCGCAAAGCGGCGCGTAATATAGGCGGAGTAACATTATCGACATAGACAAGGGAGACTGGAAGTGCGCACATCCTGTTCGGCAACGGGAGTTTAAACTCCTCATCTAGGGACGCCAGGTCCAATACTAGGCATTGGGCTTACTGATAAGGACTCGAACTCGTGTGTTCTCACGAACCCTGGAGACGATATCTATTCGGCATGCCGTAGGTTATCGTGGAAAACCACGGCCGAGGCTCCCACGCCTTTGTTCTGAGGTTCTAACCTGCAAAGCCATGACTGTCAGTAACGCCTTACCAGAGGGCAGTCATAATCTACCATGTCCTGATCTCGATTGGGCTTGTGATATTTTTGCAGACCACCCAATTGCCAAATCGATTACCAATTGCACTTGACGGTAGCACCGTCGTGTGGTCCGCTCTTGTTTATTTAACGGCCAGCTGTAGCTGTAGTTGAACTGCGACTTAACCTCCCCTGAGTTTTGTTTCCCTCCCTTTCCCTTCCACCGATAACCAACATGGAAAAACAAGCACTTCATGGACAGGTTCTTTACCATTATTGGCTTTAAAGGTAATGTACTTTGATAATGTAGGTTGCACTTGTTTCTAGTGATGATAGGTCAGTGTAGCGAAGCCCGCTGAGAATATCCTAGTAAGAGCTAGAACCTACTAACAAACTAAGTTAGTGGTGAAGTTTTAAAAGCATTTCGTTTATCCCAAAATCGTAAAGCAAACTGGAAAAATGACAATTTCTTAGTCGTGGTATGTATTTCGGAGGAAGCACTGTCTGTAGCTAAAGTCGATAGTGATGTAAAATCTTTTAGAACAATAACGCTTTCGAACTGCTTTGATTACCGCCCCCCTTGTTAACGCTTAGGTAGAAGCGCCGTCAGTGCACCTCATGCGATTTCTATTGACCATTTTTACTCCCGGCTTACTTCCTAAGGTCTTTTGTTCTTGGGGCACAATCCACGTATTTCCCCAAGGAATGCGAATCATATTGCTAGAGCCACGAACGCACTGGCACACTGTCAATAGCCTCCAAACTCTCCGTAGAACTAATCCTCTGAATACTTGTCAAGGTTGGTAAAAGGAAAACTCGTGAGGAACAGGCGTGCTATGTAGATTGCTTGCTCTTAATGCAAACAATGCTTGAAAACCGTCATTCCTATGGTCAAGTGGCGACCGCGACCTTATTGAACCGCAGGATTACATTTACTCGGCACATTTTTGCCAAGGCCTTGGGTGTGTGGCAATGTGGCCGGCTGAATGATCAAGACTCACCGAATCAGCATCGCAGTCCGTCACATCCGGCGTCTAGATATTCTGTTGAGAATGAAAAAAAGTATTCTCGGGACCAATATCGAACGGGTGCTGTTGCAGTGTCCAAAAGCGCTAGCCCTGTTGACGATAACGCCCATGAACTAGCCGTCGAAAAGTGAAATTGGACTTTCACGTCAGCCCTCACGTACTTCTTACTCATTCACACACGGCCACCGAATCAACTGACCAGTTTGCATGTCCTACAAAGCTGGGCAGAATACACAGTATGCCGGAAGACCGCTCATTTACCCCAACTAATGTCATGTCGAAATGTTTGTCAGGTCGTCTAGGAATGGGGCCTATAGGAGGAACAGGAGTCTTGTCAGCCACGACCCACTTTACACTTCCTACGGAAAGGGAGGCTGGTCGCGTAGTGGCATAAGGCGAGATTTTATCATTGGTTTGCTACATTATTACGGGATGCCTCATTGATTTGCTCGTTTAATCTAGATTCGCCTTTCAAGCCAAAATGAGTCTGAGCTACTGTCCACACTTATTTATCGACTTCAGTACGAAGCACAGAGGCACAGCAATTTGAAGAAGACCACCACAGGCCAAAGACTAAATTTGATTCCCGATGACCAGGGTCATCTTTTGTTTTTATGTAAAATATCGGCTCGAAATTCACACATCTGCAAATGTCCCGTTTGCCAGGCAGACAAGAAACGGTGATAGTTCGACCGTCGATTCCGACGACGTCCACCGTGTGCCCTACAGCAGGGTTGGCGCAGGGAGGGTGACTTTCGTGTGAGTTAGTTTATAGTGATAGTAGACTGGCGCCGCATCTGGCGCACCTTGGCCCCATGACATGTCAGAGTAAGGAAGACCGGGGGGGAAGAAGGCCCACGTGGCTGGCGCGGCATGAACCCGCATCCAAACGTGCTATCTCACTCCTGATCTATGCGTAAACGACCATGATTTCACTCAAGAAAGGAGATGGGACAGCCCAAATCTCACATCAGAGGAGCCACAACAAGAAGGAGCCGAAGAATGCACCTCCCACCTACATGAAAGCTGCCTAGTTCGTGTGTGATTTTTGACGTGTCCATGTGTGGTGCATGTGTTGATGGGGAAATGTGCGGTGATGTGGTTTAGCTTGCGCTGATTTATTGCAGAATTCCATGGAGGTGCATGCGACCGAGTATGTGTGTGGAGAGTGCGGACAGTCGAGGCGGTGCTCCAGACACTTTTTCGCCGGTCTGTGTGGACGGTGGAAGCTGGTACGGCCAGTGTATGTTGGAGCTCCTGGCACGGGTGAGCCGGTCACTGTGCGATTGATTTGCAAATGACCTACCAGGCCGATGCGCGAGGTGAATGTGCGATCGCTATGAGGACAGGTTGGGATTGAGACAACATTACTGGCGATGGGAGCAGTGGTTGTGAGGGTAGTGATCAAGAGTGTTCTCGCCAATGGTTGGAGTAGGAGAGGTGGTAGTCGTCGCGGGAGTCGCGGCAGGAGTGATGGAGGTGGTGGAGGTGGTGGCCATCAGGAATGTGGTCAGCAGTGGTGACGGAGGTGGTCGCCGTAGGGGTTGGGCAGGAGTAGGGATGGGGGCGTTTGCGGAGGCAGCAGGTAGGGTTGTCGGGTCGTTGTTGAACTGGATCCGGAGATGTCCGACAACGTCGATTGGCAACCTTCTATGCCATGAATGGTAAAGCGTAATGGTAGTTCAAAAACCAGCCTTCTTTTTTACAGTTCGGAAAATAAGCGTAGATTCCACTTGGTGTCGAATGGGGTTCGTCTTTTCGTCTGTCGCTCCCGTCTGGTTGAGGATTGGCCTCGACAGGTCGTGTACCGGTTTGTCGTTCCTAGATGACGTTGGAGCAGACAGCTTACGAAGTTTTCTCTCTGGGGCTGTTTCGTGTGGCGCTTTCTGTTCGCGGGCTCGTTTGGCAACCCTCCACCGAAGCAGTTTTGTACCGTTCTCGCCCATGAACTCGCAGCACCTTGCCTTTTCTTGCCACCACTACCATTATCTGCAGCTGTCTCTGATGATGGGTTCGAGTGAGAATTCGAAACGTCAGGCCAGTAAATTTCCTGTTCCTGTAATCGCATCTTCGTCTTCTAAAGAGGCATGTTTTTGTGGGGGACGCCGTGTTGTCCAGTTGACTCGGTGCGTTAAGCGCTGTGCAAGTCTACTGCCACTAAACTAATTCACGCACAAGTCACCGTGCCTGCCCTCACCTTGCTGTGGAGCACACGGTGGACATCGTCGGCAGCGACGGTTGAACTCCCAAGCTCGTATGTGGCCTAGGGTTGTCTGGGCTGGTGATGCGGAGTAGAGACTCCTAACTTTGGTTCGCCGGTCTCAGGCCGATGCTTGATTTAAATGCATGATGGCCGTAAAAAGAGGATGAGACACCGGCTGCAGAGCCGTTGGTGGGGACGACGCTCTCGAATTTGGCGACGCTAGTGGTGGTAGAGGAGTTTTCAGGTGTCGGAGCTAGGTTTGCCTAGACGACGTTGTTGTGAATCTCGCTTCCGTGGATGCGCATGTGGACGAAGAGTCCCATGCGCTGTCTGAATGACCTGAAACAGTGTGGGCATGTAAGGTGTAACTGACGGGTATATGTTTGGATTCCATACGCCGATTTGCTGACCTCAATGCGATGGATTCGCAAGTGGGTCGATCAGGCCTCTGAGATTCCAAGGTGCGATCTCAGTGGGGACAAGTTGGGATTGAGTCCACATTGCTGGTGATTGTGGCAATGATAGGAAGGTCTGGCAGGGTGGTGAGCACCCTCACCGGTGACGCTGGCAGTAACGATAATGGTTGTTTTGTGAGGTGATAGGCGTGCTGGTCGTGTCAGTCTCATTATATGTGGTGCGGACCATCGTTTCATCGTGAAGTTCTCACATCGTCTGTTTAACAGGCTCTGGACACCGCAATTCCGACATTATTTCCACCCCGTCGTGACTGACTGTTTTAAAGGCCTTGGCTAAATTTACGAAGGTAGTATGGAACGGGGTCCTCATTTCTTTACATTTCGCTTTTTGTTGACGGTCAGTGAAGGTCATGCCATTGTTCCGTAGCTCCTTCGGAGTTCACAGTGATTTTCCAGAAGAAGTACTTGTTCTAGCCGAAGGTTCGGGCGATTGAGCAGGTCGCTGGGGAGGATTTTGCCTGCGATGTTGAGGAGGAGATGCTTCTGCGACGCCATTTAGCTGTCGGTCCCCATTTCGTATATAGTAGTGGTCTGTGGTAACGTTCTGATACATTTGCATTTGTCTCCTCATCGCCTAGAACAGAGAAGTAAACTTGTCCACGACTTGTGAACATCCGTATTTGTAGATTTCAGCGGTAAGTGAGTTCGCGCTCGGTGAAAAGGCCATTTTGTTGGCTTCTCTTCTTTGGTTGACATAAGGTGTGTGCAGCCTATTCTCGGAGAGAAGATTGCAGATCTCCCGGCTGTCATAAGGACAATCGTAGTGCTGACTTCGTGCGCGACCAGGCACTTTCAGAGTAGTGGGGTATGGATGACGCTTCGTAGTTGGTCCAACAGTTGTGTCCGTCCCCTGAGCTTGCGTTTGTTTCAGGCGATTGTAAAAGTGTGATCGGTGGTCAGTCATATCCAGCAGTGCAGTATTTAACTTACCTGGTGAGCGCCCGGGATGCTCCAGTTGCAACCTTGTCTTAGAGGTCCCTCTAGCAGTCGACCTCACACATCACTAGCATTTCGCGCTGATCACACCTCCGAACGGAGATGCAGTGTAGCAGCTCCCAGTGCATCCACGTCGTCTCCCCGATCTGAAGGCGGAAAAGGATATTGACCAGCAGAAGACTGTTTAACGCAGGCCTGCGAGGGGAGAAGACCATTGATGTTGGAACTGCCGATCCCCTCGCGATCCAGGCAATGGAGTCTGTACCGACGTGGACATTAAAGTCATCAAGGACAGTCAATTTGTCCACTCTCATCACAGTCACTGGAAGGCATGCCGGTTGTCGTAGGCCTTGTTCCTAACCTCATCGCATCGTTGGGGATGTGTAGGCACTGGTGGTGGTGGTGGTGGTGGTGGTGGTGGTGGAAAAATGTTCCAGCCGAGAGGCAGGCGCAGGGTTATGAGATGGTCGTTGATGTCTCGTGACAGACAAGGCGGTCGTCCCGCGATGTCGTTCCAGATGGCAAAGAGGACTCCGGCGTCACGTCACCTTGTCTTTGGACATCAGCTCCAGAAGATCTATCTGATACCAACCTCATTCAGTTTTCCTTGTTCGGCACGTCGAGGCACGCTTAGAGCCGTGATTTTTACCGTGTAGTGCGCTAGTTCTCGGTCAATCAGAACTGTCATTTCTGGCCGGTTTTGTAGCAGGTATTTTAAGAGGAAACGAACATTCCAAGCTGTCAAAGTAAGCGGTGTCACTCTGGAAGTCTGTGGGGAGACCCATAGACAAAGGTTTTGATTTCGTTTGTTTGTTTAACCGCGTGCTTTGCGTGCACGAGCCATTGCCAGCTTACAGACTGACTGTTCAGAATTTTTAAGACGCCTTTCTAGCTGCTCCTTCCGCGAGGCTTTCACCTCAGTTATGGGAGAGATATTTTAATAATGACTGTCTTATGTACTTATAGAACCAAATAAGTTCATTTCAAACTCAAATATGCAGACAGTGCACCAATGTAAGAGATTTGACGGGCGTTCGACGGCCCTCCCAACATTCATCCATCAGTCGTGCTGCAACGGATTCCCAGGTATCCGACCAAGCCAGTGACGTTTAGTAGGTGATCACCCCTGCGCATGGCTGACGTTGAACCGAAAGCGTTTGGTCAACGGCGCAACGATGTAGTTGGTAGACGGGAGCGCCATGCACAAAGCCAGGTTTTGCAGTCGCTTGACATTAATTTGTATTCGAACAAACTCAGAGCTATCTGCTCCCCTTTTACGGCAGATAGCCGTGCTTGCTAGTAGCGCATTTGTTTTCTAGGGCCCTTGGTTGATTTCAAGTCTTTTGAGTGAGTTCTTTAAAGTATCAGCGTATCGCTATTTTCGCCTACCTTTCCTGCGAGCTCTTGTGGCGACTTGACGACAGAAAAGGCGCCTAGACAGGTGTTTATCAGCCATCCTCGCGACGTTGTCGTTCCATCGAAGTGGGATGGACTCCAACAAGGCATAAGTGCTAAGTCCTCGCGTTGTTTCTACAGCCTTGGCGTCCATCCTTTTGTCCTATATCGGAGCGTAGTCAGGACAACAGCTCCATAAATCCTCAGTCTTGTGTTGAGGAGTGTCACGACAATTCCAGACTGAATATCGTATGCCTGTCCAAGGTCAGATTGGCTTTTAAGATTCGGGCCGCAATTTCGTTGGCTACTTTGATATTCCTTGAGATGGTACCTGTCATATGCTGGTTTTGACCAAGAGTTTCGAGGTGTTTGTCGTGCACAACTAACGTGGGTTGGCGCACGCCAACGGTTTACTGCGTGTTCACGGTTAACCCGAAGTTGGCACATGCGGACGCACCAAGCTCCAGGCCTAGCTAGGCGTACGTCTCAGTTTAAGTGTTTGGTGCTCGGTTTTCGGTCGAAGAGGTCATGCATCCTGACCTTTATGTGTGAACTTTCATGCGGCGGCTGTTATATAGTTTCCCACCGGTTTCTTGGCGTCTGATCGATCCTCTCGATTCATTTCCGCGAGCAGTGAAGAGAACATGAGACTGAACGAATACGTGCATCCGGCTCCACCCAATTCATTATCGCGAGGGCTTCCGAGGTTGACCTTTTTCCGTGACCGCTTGTGTGAATGTTTCTATACATCTGAAGTCCGTCTGGTTCTACCATATCAGAAGCCTTTGTAAAGTAGTCGGAGGTGGCAGAGAGTCTCGTTCTAATTTCTCTACACTTTCTGCAGTTTCCACTCAGCGAAGGTCATGTTGATTGTTCCACGACCCTCCCGAAAACCGCGTTATGCCCAGGAATAAGACTGTTCCAGGTGAAGTTTGGAATGATGGAGATGGATGTCAGCAATACTGTAGAAGGGGTTTCATTTGCGAAGGTGCCTAGTGTTGTCCGTTAAGCCTTCCTAACCTCCACGAAACATCTGCCTTACTTTCCTGGTCATCTGCCGTAGGATGCGTGGGCGATCGAGCTCAACTTTGGCTCAAGTCTGATAAAGCGCATCTTTGACTTTCCGTTGCCGTTTCATCCAACTACCTGTTGTGCATCTTCCGTACTTTCTACTTCACTTGGTATCTCTATCAGAAAAATGCGGTTTTGTTGGAGCGTGTCCTGCGTTGAATTCTTTCTCCTTGTAATTGAGTCAGTCCCGGTGTTTTTGGTGTGTGTCCAGGTGTTTGCGTAGCAGTAATGCTGATGGCGTCCTGCAACCTACTTCGTTTGCTCAAAAAATAATCAGCATCCAGGGCCTGTGTTTGCTCTAATGGTGTTCATTTGACCAGTGAGCTCAAGTCTGCTTTCAACTGTGTCTGTATGATATGCTTAACTCCATTTCAGGGGTTAGATTTATACTCGTTTTGGGGTTGACCAGGCAGTGGTCGACTAAGCTTTCGTCATTGCGCATCGCCCTAGTCACAAGCACGTCTCTTACATCTCTCGACTAGTACAAAATTTGAAAGTCGCCTGCGGCGCTTACGAGGGTACATTGACTTAGTCTCGTCGCGGTTGAGGATGTCAAAGACGGTGTTGGTGATGGGAAAGTTGCCCTCTATGCAATTTCCGGACTGAAAGAATCCGTTTCTGTTTCCAATATTCGCCCCCTTATTACAAAACACCCTCCTAAATGGTGTGAAGTGCACCTGTGCAGTGACGTCCTCGAAGATAGTCAATTTGCCTTCAGCAGAGACACGATGATGTCGTGCCGATCTTCATAGAATTTGTCTTTCACATTGTCAGTAGTTGTCGTCCAGGTGGTGAAGTAGTCTGGCGTTACTGTCATGGGCGGTCATTGATTCCACGTGAAAGGGAAGGTAACTTTTCTCCAAAATCAAAACTGGTTTCTTCCTACACACTTGTACACGGACGACGCTACTGTGCCGGCCGACCCTATATTTCTGCTTAACAGCGCTTTGAAGGATCGCCTTCCGTTCCGATCCGTCTGCACAGGAACTAAGTTGAAGCAGTTGACGTTTTAGCACCACGGCCGAACACTTCATGACCGGTCATCGGTTGTCCACCTGGATTTTGTTCCCAGTCCAAGTCCGTGAATGCCTCACCTCTGTATGGGCGGTACCACCGACGAAAACGCCACAAGCCTCGTTTGGCCTTTTGGCCAATCTGTCAATTCCACAGTTACAGTCGGGATCGAGCAAAATACTGCGCCATCCTGATTCGAAACGAGGCTCCCTCCTTGACTTGCCTATTTAGCGAAAGCTCTGACCCAGAAGAGTTAAGTCAGTTTCTATAATTCAGGAGCTTCCCCATTAACCGTTGTGGACTGGATACCTCCGTTCAGGTTTTAGCTGCTGTACCGTCAAGGTGGTACGTCAACCCCTATGGAAAAACTGGTTGTCACGCGCCCAAATAATGTCGGCGGGAGAGCACAATCCTTGTGGGCGCCGGAGGGTGGGCTCCATGATCCACTTGGACTTTTCCAGCTATGCTCTCGGACCACTCTACTCATTTTGATTTAAATTTTCTGAGGTCTTAGTAAACTATTGACTACTTGTTTTGACTGGCTCTTGCAGCTGGGCCTCAGGGTATACTGAAAGCAGGAGTCAAAATAAGATTTTAACTTGCTTTTCTCCAGTTAAAGTATTGTCGTTGAAATGATGACAAGAAAGCTGAACCACCTCAACTCAACAAAACCGCCGTGAGTATTTCAGCAACCGCCCCCCCTCCCCCCATCCCAGCTCGGACACATTCCCTTAGTTTTGTTTGTTGGTAAAACTGAATGCCTCACTGGATGTCAGACTTATCCCTCCACACGCAGCGAGAGGATTCAAGTAGAGGGGAGCGGACATCATTTGCTTCGTGGAAAGTGTCGCCCTACTCTTGCTACTACTATCACTACTACTTCTACTCACAACGCCACTGACGGAGTCGCGGAATTTTTTTAGCCCTATCGCTAGCGAAAGTACTCCTTCGCGGGTCTCGCCCGCTTGTGACTGTGATGGTGATAGCTTTTGGGCCGGTGACAGCAGGACGCGGGGCAGCATCGAAACCGAGCACCGTTCTGAGTTTCGGCCCATATGGGAAGCGGAGGCAACGCAGACGTATTCTATGCTCCTAGACACACAACAAGACACGCATGGCAGGCACAGGCAGTCTTGCATTCTGTCTGCCTTTCGCCATTTGATTGGTTGTGTTGGTCCTGCCTGTGTGTGTCTACATTGATCGGTCACTCCCATGCTTTCGCGCGTGACAGGCCTGCGCGCTCTCACTCGCCGCGTGTCTCTATGGCGCATGTCATTCCGCGCTCAGGACGCGCCTGTCGCATCGATTCTCCCGCGCGAATTATCCGCCCTCCCCACTTCCCCCCTCCTTCTGGCCTGCAATGGCAGCACCAGACCCTTTGGCGCGTTACTGCTTCTGTCCCGGCCGATAATAGTCGCCGCAAAAAACGAAGTTCTTACAGCAACAACAGGAGTAGGCAGCGGTTGCGCTTTTTGTATCAGCTAAAGTCATGCGCTTGAAACTGACTGCCCTAGTAGTCCTGGCCCCAGTGTTTTACCTGCATGGTACAGTCATGTGTTTATGAAAATACTCGGAAAGTGGATCTTTAGCGCTTCACCCAGGGACTGTTGGTACCGAAGGCCTTCGTACTGGCACTTTTGTCCGGAATGTGGTACCTCGCCAAAACGTCAACTTACGAAGACGGTACGATGCCCTGTTCTAACCAGGTCCTTGCTGAGAGCAGGTGCACAGAAGACGACTGTAGGTAATGAGGAGAGAGGGGGGAACGAAAAAGTCGTAAAACTAAGGGCAGAGCTGCGACGTAAGGGTTCTGAGAACAGCGGATTTTAGTTTTATGTCAGACGAAACAAGTCTAGAGCGAAGAGCCATGGGATCCGGAGAAGCTCAAAGGGATTCGCGGGGACGCTCGCATTTACACATATTTTCATCACGTCGGTCACAGGATCTGCAGCCCCACGTGTGCGCAAGTCGCGGGTCGGAAAAACGACGGGAGTTTGGGGTCATCATTTTCGTCGCTGACCGCGGCAGCCAGACCCTGCCTACCGCTACTCGAGACCGGCTGGCTCCGAATGGCGATTGACCTTTTCAAGATGCGCCCATTGCATGAAAGTGGGTTTGCCAAATATCAGAACAAAAATACCGGGACTTTGCGCCCACCTTATATAACTAACAAGACGAAGATCGGTTACCATGACACTGGTAACCTGGACGTGTAATTTACGTTCCTAATAACCCCTCTTTTTTCACGAACACACACAGCTGTGAGTCAGCGCACGGCGACTCTGGTCACCATAACCAATCCACATGGAACCAGCCTGGCGGGCGCTACTGTTGTTGGCACCCTGGCCCCGGGGACCACCCTCATTCAATCACAGCAGCAGCAGCAGCAAACCCAACAGCCATCCACGGCGGTCTCCCAATCACATCTCCCTGACCCCCCTTCCGACACCAACTGCATGGCGTCCAACGTCAGCAACGTCAGTCTGGCGCCCACTACTTCTAACGGTGCGCCCCAGCAGTGCAGCAATGCGGTTCAAATGAGCAATGCTAATGGCCACATCTTGGTAATCCCGCCGATGCCAGGCTTTCTTGTTATTTTTTCTGCTCCTCTCTTGAACCTGGAAATATATCAGTTAAAATTGGGTAAGATTGGACTTCCGCTACTTAATGTAGGTGGCCGACTAGATGTGACCTGACACTCAAAAGCACCTGTCTCTGTTACGTGTTGGAAGTTTTCCCATTTCATCTCTGTATCCTTTGGGTGATGCGAAGGGGCTCGCGAGTTATTCTGCCTGAGATTAAGCAACATCCTTACGGCCAGACTGCAGGATGGAACATAGTCTTCCGTTTTACATTGGATCGCGATCCATAGCCCCCTGAACATGGCTTCACACACAAGTCTTATCGGCTTAGCGCTGTCGTATGACTGGCGGACAGCGGCGAGTAAGCCAGAGCTGAGCATTTCACTTTCCCTTGCCCCGTCCGCAATACTTGTCATTTATTGATTCCTCGTCGATCTATAACCGTCTGTGGCAAAATGAAGGGTTCCTCTCTGGGGGTCAAGCTAGGCCGATGAGTGACACCGTTCGTAATCTCGGCTGGCAGAACGTGAGCTCACTGATTAGCTGGAGACGGACTGAAATGTCAGATCTTTCCGACCCGGGGTTAGATTTGGGGCGTGTCTGGCTGACGACGATAAAATTTTGTGAGCACTAGACAGTGAGTTTTGGAGTGGACCCTCAGCTGCTATTTTCAGTTAACGTTACCCAACTCAATTCGATAAGGAATGTGCTACAGGTGCACTTTCCTGAACGCCTCCTCAAGGTCTGTTGACTGATCTCCGTGAAAAGCTGTCAATGTGTCAGTAGATGCAGATGGTGGTTTGGGAGGAGGGGGAGGGGGGGGTTACGCAGATGCACCGAACGTGTACTTACTAAACAAATTAACACGCACGCCAGTTTGCTGGGCCCACCTGATGAGGTAGCGGTGGACGCTGTGGCTTGCGATGGCCGGACTGTCAGCTACAGATGGTTGTCCAGCGACCGTCATCATACGACCCGGCAAACAGTCAAATTCTGCAGCATACCAAAAAAAACAGCTGTGACTGGAATAGTCATTTTCGGACTTTTTGTCGTCTTCTGACACCTGTAACCTAGGCCCAGCCGGGGCAGACCCCGATCTGTTTGCGCATAGGGCCGACGCCCCATGATTGGGCCACGGTCTCACACCCTGTCTTATGCATTTGACGCTCACCTATCTATCGACTACTGGTTACTCATCGCCTAGCGGCCGTCCACAAGACCGAAACTCTAGGGCAAAACAGGCCATCGTGTCTCGTCCTACAACCGGGTAAATCGGTGAACGCCTCTTCTATGTAACATTGAGCTGAAAATTCTTCAGTTATGTACTTGCACACCTTCCCGGCAACCCCCGCGTCATGTACGCTTTATTATAGCTGCACAGGCTTGTACAACCACAGGCAATTGCAAGACGTGAACTGCTGATTCACTATGATGGAGGCGCTTTTCATTGAGTAAATTTCTGCACTTTTTGACGTCCATCAATTCTACATTACTACAGCAATAAATTTAAACTATTTAAACTCCCTCATGTCACCATCAGTTTATCACACTGATATATTCTTTGTACTTCTCACAGAATTCTGTTTTCGATCATTTTCCAAGTGCCCACCTGAAGGTACTTCTGCCTAAATGTATGCCCGTAATCAGTTCCTGGGTCTGATCGATTTATGAACATCGGAAAGGAGATTGTAGATCCCGAAAAAACGTAATCCTTTGCAGAAAGCCAAATAACAGATGACTTTGGATGTACGTAGATACCCCTCTCGACTAAAGCTGTCAGATCCCTCGATTTAACTCGAGCTCTTTTCCCGCCCCCTTTCAGCCGGCCAATGACGGTCTCGATTTGAAGCCGGACCCCGTTGCCTGCCTGGCGAGGGCAGCGGCTGCTGGCCTGAACACTAGTGAGGCCCTCTTCGCCACTTCGAATCCCTCCGCCGACTTGGCCAGCCTCGGATTTGTCCCTCTTCCTGCACTCACTCCGATTTCGGCAGCAGCGGCCGCTGCAGCCGTCGGACTGCCCGACAGTAGTAACGGCGGTGTTCATGTAATCTCCGCGACCACCGTTTCCTCCTCATCCTGCACGGAAGCCACCACTGCTTCCACCCACCAGCCCCTACCACCCACTGCGACGGTTACAACAACCAACTCTCCTGTTACTGCCGGCGGCGGTAGCGGTGGCAGCAGCGGAATGGCCGGGATTCCTTCCCGTCACTCTAGCCCCGTAGTCATGGTTGCAGCTGCGGATGCTGTGGGCGGTAAGGCTGGTCCATATGGATGTCGAGAGTGTGGCAAAGAGTTTCGTATCCTACGCTACCTTGAGAAGCACCGACGTATCCACACGGGTGAGAAGCCCTATCAATGTTGTTATTGCGGACGACAGTTCAATGATTGGCCCAACATGAACAGGCACAAAAGGATACACACTGGTGAGCTTTGGCACTCTCTCGCCTTGTCGTCTTTTCTTGTCGCTGTTTTCCGACTACCTACATCCTTGGAGCTGCCCTTGAGGCCACTGCGAGGGTTTTTTTACAGTCCTTATAGGGACGGCTTAGGTAGGAGGGGACAGTTGATCCTTACTCTGATGGGCTGACAGTTGCATCATATGCTTGCCTATACTGGCCCCACCTGTCTTCCATCTATCGTCTGTTTCGATAAACTTTAGCGAAGACATACTTTCCTGCAAAATGAAAATGCTAAGTGAAAATTTTGTGTAACTTTTCTAGGAAATATGACTGAAGTTTAACAAGTATTGCAAGCAGGCGGGAGAGTAATTGTTACTGAAGTAGTCATTTCTGTAGAATTGGGTTTTAAAATGCTGCTTGAAGAATTCTTAACCTATAGTTGGCTTACTATCCTGTGTGAATTAACTTAGCAAGCGGTGCATGCCTAGCAGTATTTCAACCCGAAGTAAGCAATAGTTTCTATTCTTAGGCATATTTTAAAATTGAGGCCAACATTCGAGTCTCGGGTTTATGTGCGAGCACACGTGGGGGGAGGAGGAGGAGGGAGACTGATTTAGCACTAGTACCGTTCGTTTATTTGTATGGGGTGTTTAACTCGTGCGGGAGCCCACCATCAGAGGTAACAGCAGTACGCGATCGATTGGCAGGTATAGAGAGCATTAGTCAGTCAATATTCAGTGTCACAGGTCTGGAGATGACCGCGGAGGACTCTGTGTGCGCTCGCGCAAGGTCAATTTGTCGGTTGACTGAGTTCCCACGAGAGACCTAGGTTTCGATCAGCTCCCCACCTGTCTCGCTTCCGGCTTGAGCACTCATATCGGTGCCTGCGACATTGAACTGGCGACCCGCTTCAAGGGTTTGGGCAGTCACTTGTAATAATTAGTCACCCCGTTGCACAGCCAGTTTGTGCCCCTATATGTACAATCTGGGGATTTGTTAAATCTGACCTGTGTAATCACAATGGTAGTTTAGGTGCGGTATACGATATCCTATATCAGCTCTGGCACAAGTTCTATGGTCTATTAAAGATCCACAAACTGCGACTAACTGTCGCCGTAAAATACAGTCTTGCTCATAATTTGTCAAAGTATATGTAGTTCCTGTAACTGTAGTTTCTCCAGTGTACTTCGGCCTACTTAGCCTCCAGTTTTTTAGACCTCTGAGTCGCATGAAATAATGGTCTCTTTCAATATGACGCCGTTATTCACATCCGCCCCACCGAGTTTCGCGCGCGTAGTCTTGTGCAACAAACTCGAAGAAGCATACGACAGGACCCAGAATCTCATGAGGCTGTTTGAATTGTGAACTAAAAGCTAACCTTACCCTTGCTGGAGAAACCTGTGAACAGATCGGGGGAACTCTAATGGTCTCCTCGATCTCCGGTTTTATGACAGAACTGGTCCTGGAGAAGCTAGAATAGATTGCTTTCATCCAGCACGAGCCGGTCTCTTGGCGCCAGTACGCCAGCGACACCTTTGTTGTCGTCAGGACGAACAAGCCTCCGAACGCAATCTCTTCAGATATGCGGTTATCGAGAGTAGAAGAAAAGGTGCAACAGCTACTCTTCCTTAATGTGCTCATTAGTCAGCGAACACCATGAAACTTTTCAGTTTTCGCAGTAACCATCCGGTGATTCACAAACAATGTCACGTGAGAATGCTCCCCAGACGGACTCAGATTCACCACGGCCTCCCGGGAGAAAAAGCGCATGATGCCCGACCAGTTTATGTAAAATAGCTACCCCGGGACGTCTAAAAACCGACACCTACGTGTTCGCCCCCGGAGGACCCAAGCGTGCTCTGTCATACATTTAGGGCGTTAAAGAGACGATCGAGCGCATTGGTGCCGGACTAGGTGTTAGAGTTTCACACCGACCCAAAGCCACCACGCACAGCATGTTCATGAAAATCAAGGACCGGTTAAATTCCAGGAAACAGTCTGGTGTAGTGCATCGTATCCCGTGTTTAAACTGTCCTTGTAACTACACAGATCGGGCCGAACGTAAGCGAGGTTTGCGCGTATTCGCACAAGCTCTTCGTTAAACCGGGTGACGAATTGCCACAAGTGACTGCCCACACTTTCGGAATGAATTATGCGTTCAGTCGTTTAGCCACCAGGGCAACTGCTTAAACCGGGTGCAAGACAAGTAGGGAATTGTTTGAAGCCAGGACTCCGAAAGAGAACACAATCAACTGACATATTGACTTTGCACCTAAAAAGTCCTATTCATTCATTTACAAACTACTCCTAGTTTTATTCGTTGGATATTTTTCCTGCCCGGATGTACTTCTGCACCTTTTTGCAGAATGCTGTCGCAAATTCTTTTCACTCCGAGAGTCGCCCCCCGACCATGGGATTTGAATTACTTAGAGCAACCTTCAATGATATGCGCCAGCAAGAACTTAACTTTTTTTGGTTTTTTACAACTTTAAGAGGAAAGGACCCGATCTGTGCTGATTCAGCACCTATTCTTCAATAGGACTTTCCGAAATTTCCCCTCTCAGTCCTTAGAACGCTCTGTTACGGAAGGTCGGCATACCGACTGCGTGGGTCCTGCTCTTAGTCACGAATATTAGGTCTTTTGAACCTAACAGTTCCCGCGCCCATCCTCAGTTCCGTTGACTTGAGGGGCAGAAGATCCCCTTTGCCATTACTTTTTTCACAAGTTTATAATTCCTCATACCCCCGCCCTCGCCCACCCGGGTTATCCTTAATTTTACTTAAGGATCACCACTCACAATTTGTCCTTTAATGTCGGAGTTTACGGTGCGCCCATTTTTTAGTCTATAATAGAATGGAGGGTTCTCCTAATCGGTTAGAAAATACGCAAGCGCGGCGCAGAAATGGGGACTGCCTCTCGTTGACGGGGAAGGCAGTTGCCTCTATGTACAGTATCCTCTAACCCCCGTTCCCCAACCTTGCTTTTTGAAAGCCCAAGATGCGTCTAATTCCGATTTATAGGCGAACGTCCCTATCGGTGTGCCGTTTGCGCGAAGACCTTCTCCCAACCAGCTGTTTACAACGAGCACGTGAAACGGCACACGGGTGAGAGGCCCTACATTTGTTCGGTCTGCTCTAAGGGGTTTCCGCGCTCTGCTCGACTGGCTGTGCACATGCGGGTCCATACGGGAGAGCGCCCCTATCCTTGCAATTCCTGTGACCGACGTTTCAGTCAGCCACATCACTTGGCTGCTCACCTGTAAGTCCTTATTTCTTTGCTCATTTCTCCTCCCTACTCCCTCACCACCACCACCACCACCACCACCACCACCACCATCAGCATCAGCATCATCAGCATCAGCATCAGCATCAGCATCAGCATCATCATCATCATCATCATCACTCCCTTCGCCTTTTTTCCTCTATCTTCCCGCCTCGCATTCCCCTCTCTTCCTTTTGTATTGTATTTAGTTCTTGTAGCCCTAGCCTGTTACACTACGTCCTCTCGTAGTACCCATTACCTGCAAAGAGGTTAAGTAGTTATAATTTCATTTTAGTCGAGTACACAGCGGTGACCGGCCTTTCTCCTGTTCCAAGTGTGACGTTAGTTTCGCTTGTATCTCCAACCTCCGGCGACACCGGAAACAAGTGCACCCAGTGACCCCACCGAATCCCGCCACATCTGTGCCTAGTTCTGCGTCTGCCGAGACGCAGCAGCAGCACCAGTCGCTTTCAAGTGCCTCTGACAACAAGTTCTCTGTGCGACCGACTTTTAGCACCTCTTTGACCATACCCCCCGAAGGTAACACGACAGAGGCCGTTCCGGCCGACGGAACGATGGTGACTGGTCTTCTTTTCACGCCCTCTTGCTCCTCTCCTTCCTCCTCCTCTTCCTCATCAGTTTCTGTGACGGCGGCTCTTCTGACCGCGGTCCCCTCCAGCACAGAAAATTCTGGCTTACATACGCACTCTACAAGTGAGTTTCTTCTAAATATTACCTCACACAGAAGTGACTCTGTCCAACTCTAGGGCGTCTGCGCTTTTCGAATTTGAAGGCAATTTTTTGTTCTGAGTGGAGTTAACATTGATCGTGCTGGTAGTCGCCAAATGCTCAGATGAACACTTTTCCATGTTTTGGCACCTTGCTCATGGGCAACATGAACCTGGTCATTTGAAGAAGGCATATGTCGCAGTGTCTCGAAAGACGTACATAGTAGCGAATCTGCGATGTCCGAAGGTCTTTTGTAGTTACCATATGAAGTACTTTTCCTGTCGCAAGTTCTAATGTAGTCTTAGTTCCTTCGGGTAGCATCTGGTATGCACTTATACATTTGGAAGACGAGGTGGCAAGCATACGTAGCTTTCAATAAATTCTCGTCGGGCCAGTACAGTTATATAGGAAGGGGGTAGAAGTAAAACATGTCAGCAAAAAGAGAAATCGATAAAAGTTCTCCTTAAAACACAGGCGGGATGTGGGAATGTGGGGGAGGGGGTAGGAGGGAAAGTAATAGTAGCCATTGTCAGGGCCGGGGTGAGAGCGGAAGTGCGCGGAGGGAGTCGCACCGTTAGTCTACCTTCGACCACTGTAGACGAGGAGCCTGAAAGTGGTTCTTCTGTGCTCATAAGGTTGGCTTTCGTAACCTAATGGCGGCCGCTTCCGCTGTCTTTAACAGGCGCTGGCCCAGTAGCTTAGGGTAGCTCGATGGGACCTTATAAATCACACGAAAAGCTTCGTTGGGTCCACACGATAATATGCGTGAGAATGGCGCTGCTTATGCTCCTCGTTTCGCCTTTTCCCAGCCATGCTGGGAGGTGTTCCCGTATTCTCTTGGATAAGCGCCGACTCGTGCGACCAATATAACCTGTTCCACAGGAGCAAGTGAAGGGATATATGCACATTGAGGTGGTCTGTAGTGGCAACTTATCCATACCTTCTCCGCGTAAAATACGGTTAGTAGAGAATGATATTTGAACCCTTGCCACTGGGAAGGTTCGTGAGACAGCTTGATCAAGGCGTCTCCTTAGGAGTTCACTCGCCGCGTCCCCTGGGAAAGGGACTTTATACACTTATACATTTACCACTGACGACGGCTACTAAGCCAGAAATAGCCATTCCAGTCTCCCTTGTCGTTGTCGGCAATAACATACTGCCTATATCATGCGCCGCTGTGCGGCTGCTGGTTGGGCTCGAGAGAGAGCCCGTAAGGCATAACGGAACGAGTGAGTTCCGTAAGAACGATCGGTGAGCGCCCTCTACCATTTACCGTTGTCTCCACTTCTACAGAAATTGCAGCCTGCGTGAAATCTGTACCAAACAGGAAGTTATAATACCTAGAACTTCATGCATTTCTCCAATGATACATGAGTAAACAACTCTTGCCGAAGTACCGCAAACAGTTAACGCCAGACGGTCGCTTCTATTTTATGGGAGACCATGCCTTATACTTTCAGACTATTGGGAGAAATTGTTAGAATTTTTGGGTCGCGTTTGGTATCGGATACCCCACGGAGTTCAAGTTAACCTGTTTTAGTTGGCTACCGACTTTGCTTAAGTAGCAATTCTATTATATTCCAACTGTGCTAGCCGCGGAAAGCGTCCCTCGAAAGCTTCAGACCTGTGTATGTGGACACATTTTGACCCACCTTAAGGGCTACAACAGTATCGTCTCACATGCTTCCTCTCAGGCACGTCCACCTAAATTTCACTGAACGACTTTATGGCGCCTGCTTTGCATGCCACCCTAGTCATGCCACCAACTAGCATCCGTTTCCGTGTTCTTTAGTCAATGACTCTTTACTAGCGAGCGCCGAGTCTGCTCTTGCGAGTACCGGGGTTTCAAACTCCAGTCTTATGGATACCTCCTGCCTGATCTCTACATCAGAGGCCAGCAATCAACAGGATCACCAACAGCAGCAACAACAACAGTGTCCCGTCGCCTCCGGAGACGTACTAGCCTCGCAGAGAGGTAGCCTGGTTGGCCTTGCCTCCCCGGGGAAGAAGAACTTGGCGACCCCCTCACCGTCTGCGGCTGCAACGGATCAGCCCGGCAACGGAGGCCACATAATGGAAAACCAGCCGTCTGCACTCGAGGCCCCCACTGGCCAGTTTCTTTTCGACTCCTCCACACACCAACCGGTTACAGAGCAGACGTTAGGGGTCTCTGGCGATACAACAATCTACATCAACTCTGTAAGCTGCCACTTGTCTCGCATACTGCATTTTGACCTGTGGCTCTGCTCCCCTATTCGAAGACGCCTGTTTCTTGTTTTTTTTGCAGATTGACGTCTCTGCGGCGACAGGGGCTGGTGCTGATATTTCACACTTACCCAACAGTCCAGGTCACTCAGCCGCACTTATTCCTACCTCCACGGCTGCAATCCAGTTTCAGCACTTTGGCAACATGCCCGTCGGGCAGTTTTCCTTCGCGCCAACAGTCTCGTTGGCGGCAGCGGCGGTCGACAGCAAGTCGCACTTATTTGCCACCAATGGAACGACAGCCCTTTTCTCCGATTCAACCGCGTCAGAGGCTGCTGGTGTGGGCAACCCTCTTGCCTGTGCAAAGGCTGTCCAGATATGCTACTCTACCGTCCCGTCGGCGTCCGCACAGCACGATCACACCACCGCTATTCTACTGCCTACGGGACAGGTTTTCTCCAGTAACTCGGGCTTTGTAAGCGCCGCACCACCACTCACCTCGGTCGCCCTGCCAGATAGTCAGCACAGACACTCCACCCTTCAGCAGTTGTCCACTGGGCAACTCATCACCGCTCACTGTCAGCCAACAGCAGCGGCAGCAATGCTGCTACCATTTGCATCCTCCGGTTTTTTTGCGACGACCGGCGGTGCAATGGACAATACAGCGGCTGTGGCGCCCTCGCAAATACCCTCCATAATCACCTCCGGTATCGCCTTCTCACCAGCCTGGCCGGCGGTTGTTACATGTACGGGGACCTTCCAACTCTCCAACGTATCACCCGCTACTGCTGCTACCTCCCACTCCCGATCTGGAACTCCAAACGTCCAACCTACTGGTGCAAGCCCCAACCCTGCCGGCACCCCTCTCGCCTCAGTTTCGCCGCACGCGTTGGCGTCAACACGTGCGTCAAACAATCCGAGTCTGGAAGCTTCACCTGCAGCTCTTGGCTGACTGTCCAAATCAGCGAAACCTGTGCGTATCCACGACCAGGTCGCACTAGTAACGATGCGCCTGCCGTTCCCCGTTACAGAGTAATATCTCTCCCTTGTCTTTGTGCGGCAAAAGATGTAGATAAAAAAAATTATCGGCCCCTTGCCACTTTTGCTGCTTCCAAGGGCGCTC